GTAAGCCTTTGCAGAAAGTGACATTTTTTTTTTCTTTTGGGTTCGGGGTGTAGAGTTTTTTTTCCACAAGCTGGTGTTGCGGGAGTGGGTTTTGTACATATGTTGTTAATGTAAGTTTTTATTTTTTGTCCATTTGACGTTCTCCATATATCTTACACGAATGTAATGGAAGCTCCCTGCCTCAGTTTTGATCTCGTGGGGTTTGATACCGGAGTGTATTCTTTACACTGCCTTCACCCTTTCTAGCGTTTGGAGAAGCCTTGAAAAGAATATGCAGGAGATGGAGGCATTTAGATCAACTCGACTATTTGAAATAGGATACATTTACCCTCCGTTAAAAGTTGGCATCATTTGTGCCCCTGTCGTGACCTAAAGGGTACCCTATTTCACTAACGGACGCAATTTCCGAATTTTTTTATTTTGAAAAAATATTTCTCTTTTTTTTTTAAAATCCACCTGGGCCACCCCACCCTACCCCCATCCCCATCCCCATCCCATTTTTCTAGAAAGGGTCAAAAATTGTCCCTGAACTATACAAAATGGGGTAGTTATATCCCTCCCCTGCCACTTATTTTAGTTTTATATTTTTAGTTTTTTTTCTCCCCTTCATTTTCTTTTCTCTTCCTCTCCTTTCAATCTCCATTGAAGAACCTCTCCCAAACCTCCTAAAGAATTCCAAGCCAACAAAAATTGCATTTTTATCTCCTCTCTTGCATTTTCTTTCTCCTTCTTCCTCTCTTTTCAACCTCCATTGTGAGTGAGTGTACGCGTATTTTTATTTGTATGTATTACAATTAAAATAGAATGGTTCTCTTTGATATAATCTCTTAAACTCTGATTGGTTCTCTTCGATAAGTTACTCCCTAATGAATTTAAGCTTTGTGCATCATCATCTATTAATAGCATAGAACCCTCCAAAATTAATGAAGATGGTTCTGAATGCAAAGAGAACATTTAAGACTAGGATAGCTTACCGTTAATAAAGTTTTAACTTTTTATGTAACTAAATAGTTTTTTAAAAGAAAAAGCAAAATTTTCGTGTCACTCATGAGTTGATCTTGCCTTGACTGTTTTGTGTTACAAAATTTACTATTTTAATTTAACTTTTACATAAAAAGGTTGCCGAAGAGGTCCTATCTACCAAAAAATTATGTTTTAACTCCTTCTCTCCCATCCCTCTCTCTCTCTCCCCTAATCTCCGTTATTTCTTCCCCTTCTTTCCCGCCGCCTCTCTTCACCGGCGTTCTCATCGGCCATCCCACCTCTCTCTCTCTCTCTCTCGCTCTCTCTCTCTCTCTCTCTTTCTTCCCCCTTTCCCTCTTTCTCCGTTCCCTTCCCCTCTCACCAGTAGGTTTCCCCTTTGGATTTTCTCCCTCTCCCTCGTTCCCCAACCTTCTGTGGGTGTGTGTTTTATTTTTGTTCTTCATCTGGACTACAGGGAACAAGGCTGCCATAACTCCGGCAAAGTTTCACCTAGACGCCAGCGCATTTTCCGGCCAAATTTGTACTACTAGTGGCAACTCTCCAACGACCGGACCCATCACCTCCAGCGACTATCATGACTTCGTCCATAAACCAGGTTCTACGTTCTTGTTTTGTACACCCTGCCTTCGATATACTCTGTTGTGACCTGTTGCTTTGTGTGTTCTTGTTTTGTTATACTCTGTTTTCGATATATTCTGTGAAACATGTTGCTTTGTTCCTGGTGTGTTCTTATTTTGTTATATTCTGTTTCGATATTCCGTTACTTGTTGCTTTGCCTCCAGTGTGCTCCTTATTAGTTGTTGTGCTCTAATTGTGGTTAATCTGTTTAACTCACTTGTATATGTTTGCGGACCTTTTTAGCATTCTTTAGGGTACTTAGTCTCACATACCTTGCTGCTACTATCATTCCTAGTTCATTAGTTGTGTCCTTCTATGTTTTTTAGTTTCGGACTATTTGCACTATTTTTTTAGCCAGCCGCTACTTCTGTGGTAATTCCTTCTTAGTGTGTATTAGATTATAGTGGTTTTACTGAACGATGATAGGGTAAGGTTATGTCCCAGGGGGCAAAAGGGGTAAGGGTGGTAAGGATGCCTCCAAGTTGAGAGTTGGGTCTTGGAAACATAGGGACTTTGACGGGAAAGTTTGTGGAGTTAGCGAAGATTCTCCAGAAAAGGAAGGTCAATATAGCTTGTCTCCAGGAGACTAGATAGGTGGGAGATAAGGCACGGGATGTAGAAGGGTTTAAGCTTTGGTACTCTGGATGTGTGGGGGGCAAGAACGGGGTAGGTATTTTGGTTGATAGGGATCTTCGAGAGCTAGTGGTGGAGGTTAGGAGGGTGAATGATAGGTTGATGGGCATTATTCTAGTTGTTGGGAGTTTTACTTTAAACGTTATTAGTGCGTACGCATCTCAAGTGGCTTGGACGAGGAGGTAAAAAGGCATTTCTGGGAGGATTTGGACGAGGTTGTGCGTGGTATTCCCATACTGAGAATCTTTTCATAGGAAGAGATTTTAATGGCCACATTGGGGCGTCATCTAGGAGCTACGATGACGGGTATGGCGGCTACGGTTTCGGTGTTAGAAACGGAGGTGGTACTTCATTGCTGGATTTTGCTAAGGCTTTTGATTTAGTGATAGCTAAGTCTAGTGTCCACTTTCNGTTTCTGGGAGGATTTGGACGAGGTTGTGCGTGGTATTCCCATACTGAGAATCTTTTCATAGGAAGAGATTTTAATGGCCACATTGGGGCGTCATCTGGGAGCTACGATGACGGGTATGACGGCTACGGTTTCGGTGTTAGAAACGGAGGTGGTACTTCATTGCTGGATTTTGCTAAGGCTTT